GTTTGAATTTAGAAAAAAAAATAGCCCAAACTCATGGTTTTTATTGCATGGATGGCTCTTTTGGCATTTCCTTTCTTTCTTTTAAAAGATAAAGTTATTTCCCGTAGGCTGCGCTCCCTCTCCCTCTCTCCTCTACATTTTTCTCTTTCTCCATCATCTTCTGTCAACCTGTCTGTCTTGAAATATCTCCCTTCTTCCCTCTTCACAACTTCTCTCTCTCCCTCTCCCTCTCTGTCTCACAAAACCTTCTCCTCATCCCTCCCCTCCCTCTCGCAACCTCTCTCATCTCACTCCCTCCCATTTCTCGCGCAACCTCTCTCTCTCCCTCCCTCCCCCCTCTCACAACCTCTCTCCTCCCTCTCCCTCCCTCTCACAACCATCTCTCTCCCTCCCCTCTCACCAACTTCTTCCTCCCTCCCCCCCCCTCTCACAACCTCTCTTTTCCCCCCCCTCCCATCCCTCTCACAACCCTCTCTGTTCTCCCACTCGTCACACCACATGTCTCCGCCCTCCTTCTCCAGCTACCTCAACCCGTGCACACCTTCCCCGGTCGTTTCCTAAACATCTCCCCCCCCCCTTTTTTTTTCTTTTTCTTTTTTTTTTCCTTTTTTTTTTTTGCCAAAAGTAAAGGCAAAATACTTGAGAGTTAAAACCTTTGCATCACGCCATTAACGTAAACACAGAGGACAATTTTTTTTTACTATAAAAAATATTTTTACGTTCAAGAGGAACTTATTGCATATAGTTTTTAATTACATGCACACACCCAAGTATACGCATAAGGCACACACGCACACTGCCACGCGGCACGCGCAACGCACACACACACACACAACGCACACGCACACACACGCGCCACACACACACACACACCACACACCCACACACACACACACGCAAACACGCACACGCACACACACACACAAACCGCTCTTGTACTCTCTCTCTCTCCATAATTATTCACTTTTATATCTAAATCTCTCACCTCCCCTTCTCTTCTCCATCTCTCTTCCTCCATCCAATTCTTCCGCCAAAGAACAGAAAACCACGCACGCACTGCGACGAACGCCACGCGCTTTCCATAAACATTGGGACAAATTGGGACGGCGGTTTTTCTCTCTCTCTCTCTCTCTCTCTCTCTCCTCTCTCTCTCATCTCTCTCTCTCTCTCTCTCGTCTCTCTCTCTTCTCTACTCTCTCTCTCTCTCTCTCCCTATCCATGCTATCTCTCTCTCTCTCTCCTTTCTTCCTCTTTTCTTCCTCTCTCTCCCTCCTCTCTCTCATCTCCTCCTCTCTTCTCTCTCTCTCTCTCCTTCTCCTCTCTCCTCTCTCTCTCTCTCTCTCTCCTCTTCTCTCTCTCTCTCTCTCTCTCTCTTTCGGAACTATCGATGTTCTTCTGCTCTCGTGAAAACTTCCCTCATCTTCTCTCTCCCTCTCCCTCTCCCCATTCTCCCTCTCCCTCCACCTCCTCCCTCCCTCCCTCCCTCCCTCCCTCCCTCCCTCCCTCCCTCCCTCTCTCTCTTCTCTCTCTCTCCTCCTTCTCTCTCTCCCTCTCTCTCTCCTCTCCTCTCTCTCTCTCTCTCTCTCTCTCTCTTCTCTGAAAGAAAACTTTCCCATGACAAAACTCTGGTCGACTTCATTATATCACTCTATATTTCTGTACTGTAAAATAATAATAATAATAATCTAAAAAATATATATGCACCAGTTATTTGGTTCTTGCATTTATGACCTGATGAAATTTAAGACCTTTTTAAGCTTAAAGACGTTTTTTTAAAGACCTTTTAAGACCTTTTTAAAGACGTTTTTTTTAAAGACGTTTTAAGACCTTTTTAAAGACGATTTTAAAGACGTTTAAAGACCCCTACTCAACTGCTTTTCAAGACCTAGAGCCACTTGTCGCTAAAAAAAACACGCTTCCCCATGGTGTGTAGGCCTAAAAATGCAACAAGAAATACAACAACAATATGCAATGAACTATTACAAAAAATCACGTTGCATGATCATAACTCAACTTGCATGCACTTGCAAAAAAAAATAAAAAAATAAAAAAAAATCTGATCACATTTCCCATAGTGTGTGTAGGCCTACTGTCGTGTCAGTTACCAAGATAAAGAAAAAAAATCCCAACCGACAAGATTTTTTAAGACAGCCTCTAGGGTAGATTGCACGCCAGAATTTCTTCTTCTTCTTCTTCTTCTTCTTCTTCTTCTTCTTCTTCTTCTTCTTCTTCTTCTTCTTTCCTTCTCCTCCTTCTTCCTTCTTCTCCCTCCCTCCTCCTCCTCCTCCTCCACCCCTCACCTCCACCTCCACCTCCACTCCACTCCACCTCCACCTCCCACCTTCCACTCTCCACACTTCCACTTCCACCTCCACCTCCACCTCCACCTCCACCTTCCACACCTCCACCTCCACCTCCACTTCCACCTCCTTCCTCCTCCTTCTGCACACGACCGATAAGCAAACGTTGCGTCGATAAGCCAAGATCGAGGTCTGATGCTGACAAAAGAATTTTCTGGAGATCCGCAAGGCATTTAAAGACGTTTTTTAAGGATGCTCCGAACCTTGCTGTGTCCCTCACGAACAAGAAAAAGGAAATACATAAAAATGATCAAGCCTCCCCCATCCCCTCCCCTCTAACCCCCTTCACCCCCCGCCTTTACCCTTTAAAACCCCCCCCCCTTTAAACAAAAATAATCCATAAATAATAAATACATAAATAAAAATAAATAAAAATAAAATAATAAAAATTAAAAAAATAATCAAAAAAATAATAAAAAAATATCATAATAATACTACAAAAACCAATAACCAACCACACAACAACAATACCCTCCACCCTGCCATACTACCAAAGGAGGTTCCCCAGGCAGGCGCCCCTGCAGGCACACCGCGACAGGAAAAATAAAAATAAAAAGAGTCTATCACGGGGCCCTTCCTTGCTTGTCTCAGCCCGCGACGGAACGCTATCAAACGCGGCACTTTCCTAGACAGGCGCGACTTCCCTTGTTCTCCGCGACGATCGAGAGGTGTGGGTGGGTGGGTAGATAAATAGATAAATAGATAGATAGATGGATAGAATAAAAAGACTTTGAGTGAGAGAGACAAGTGCTGGCGACGAGATAGAGATAGATGGATAGGAGAGAGAGAGAGAGAGAGAGAGAGGAGAGAGAGAGAGACGAGAGAAATGTGAAATGAATAGAGAGAGCTGATGAATAGTAGAGAGAGAGAGAGAGAGAGACCGAGATGAGAGAGACCGACACGATGACGAGACGGACCGACCCGGAGAGAGAAGAGAGACCAATAGACAACACATGACAGAAAACACCAATAACCCCACTTATGACTTTAAAAAACCCACAAGATAAAAAGGACAAACACAACACATTAATAACAGACAAACAAATGCATAAAACAAGGAACTTGATCAAATATAAATCTAAAAACCCAAACCAGAAAGTACCCCTCCATATTTTCTTTGAATATAACAAAACTAAAACAAAAGTAAAAAAAAAATGAATAAACATAAAACAAAACCAAAAAAAAAAAAAAACTCGACGAAAGCCAAAGTACCCACACCCTCCTCCTCCTCCTCCTTTCTCCTCCTCCTCCTCCCTTCCTCCTCCTCATCCTTCCCCCTTCGTCCCCTCTCTCTTCCTCTCTCCTCCTCCTTCCTCCTCCTCCTCCTCCTCCTTGAGCTTAGCACCCACCGACGCACTGAGTCGCAGATTTTAGAGCAATGCTGTGAATCTCGCCCAGCGAAGTCGTCACCCACCACAAGGTTACAAGGGCACGCGGCACGGCGCCTCAGGCGGACGCGAGAGGCGGCCCTGCGGGGAGAGGGGAGAGGAGGGACGAGAGGGAAACTATGGAGGAGACAGAGTAGGGCGGAGAGAGGCGGCGGGGCGAGCAAGCGAACGCGAGCCGACGAGGGAGGGAGGGGCAGAGCGGCAGACGCGCTGAAGAGGACGAGGACTCGCAGGACGAGACGACGAGAGACGCAGGAGGAAGAGAGACGAGGGGAGAGAGCGAAGGAGGGATACTCGACTCGGACAGGAGAAATCGACTGAGCATTGAGGACGAGAGAGAGAGCTGGAGGGAGGAGCAGGAGAGGAGAGAGTAGATAGACGACGCGACAGAACCGAGATGGGGATGACCGAGCGGGGAAAGAGATGAGAGGGACAGGACGACGGCGACGACGCGACCGACCGCAAGATTCCGCGCCCCTCCACGGGGAGAGCACCGAAGATAGAGAGAAGAGACGAGTAGATGGTGAGTGGACGAGGGAGGGAGAGTAGGTCAGTTGAGGATGAGAGAGAGAGAGAAAGAGAGAGAGAGAGAGCGGATGGAGGACGTTAGAACGCCAGCGCCGCGAGAGGCGGATGAGTAGGAGAGAGAGAGAGAGACTGAGGGAGAGGAGACGGATGAGAGAAGTGGAGAGAGCGAGATGGGAGCGAGGAGGAACGAGAGAACGAGCACGGGA